TCTCATGTCCAAATTTTGGAAGATTTCGCTTTTGAAATTATGTCACGGAGCACTACCCAGATATTACTCTTAGCATTTTGACCAGGGACATTTGCCCAATATTTACGCACTCCGTCGTGCTGTTAGTTGTTGCGGTCCATTTTACGTCTTAATATAATCCAATGGTTATCCAAATTCCAGTACTCTTCCCTGTGCGTAGCTATCTTCTCAGGCGTGTCGATTGGCCTCAATTGTGTGATCAGGAAATTTTTTCTGTTTTTGGATCATTTGAACGATCATCTCTCATCATTGCGATCATCTCCAAAAGCAAGACGCCCCTCTGTATCTCCAAATTCAGACTCATCTATATGATTTGCGATATTTTGGCAATATTCGTCAACGAAATCAGCATAAAAAAGCAAGAAATTCGCCTTTTTTGGATATCGCCTGTAAGTTATTTTCAGCATTTCGGTAGAATTTAAACTTTTGTTTTTTTTTTCACACAAAAGTAGTGGTCCATTCTACCCGCTGTCCTAAACTCTAACTTCATGCGAGATTTCGTGACCTTTGGTTTCTATTTGTGACCTTTATAACGGCTGCAAAATCAGGAAAACTTTTAGTTGTTGGTTCATTTAAACCCTAAATACATTGCGGACATCTTTGAAAACAATATCCCTAGCCATTCTGAGCCTAAAACTATCCTAATGACAATTTTTGTGAGGATCGGCCGATAATTGCAATCTGTATATAATAACCCCAACCTGTGTTGTAAGGTGAAAAAATATTACAAAATATACACTTCAATATTATAAGTCAAATTAAAAAAATCGCATGCGATAAAAAATATGAAAAAAATAAAAAAATGTCACAAAATACTACAAAATCTATATAAACACCATTATTGTCATCGATTTTTTTTATATTTTATTCTTTTATGCCAAGAGGGCATTCTGAATTGGCAAAATTTGTCCAAATCGGTCCAGCCGTTTTTGAGATATAAGCATATCTGTATATACACATTATATATATTTCGCTATATATATCCGGTATATTTACTATCGGCATCAACGAAACGGTCAGGATTGACCTGTTCGTCTATTTGCAATTTCGCCGGGATTAAAAGTATTCGCGGTTTAATTTTTGACTTTGACTATTATTAACACAAATGCTGTGGCCTAATTCACCCACTAAATATTACCCGATGACCATCAAAATTGGAGGGCTTCTACCCAGCCCTAAGCTCTAGCCCCACGCTAACTTCCGATTTGATTGTTCTATAATTGCGACCTGTAGAGCAACTGCAAAATCAATTTTTTCAGTTTTTGGTCCATTTCAACCCCTAAATATTATGCGATCATCTCCAAAAGAAATAGGATACTATTCTGACCCTAGCCCCACCTCCATTCTAAATTTCGATCGGGCCATAAATTGAAGATCGGGCCATAATTGCGACCTGTAGAGTGATTACAAATTAACATGGACAGACGGACAGACGGACGGACGCACATACATAGCTAGATCGACTCAGCTCGGCGAGCTAGGAAGATCCATATATACTTTCCTATGTGGGAAACCAATATTTCGAGGTGTTACATAATTTTTGGCCCAATCAAACTTATAATACCCCCAACACATGTGTTGTAGGGTATAAAAATGTGGCAAAAATCATCCAACAAACTACTGAAGATCGGGAGGTATCGTTATATAGCCGGAGCTAGAACCCATTACGGCCCACAAATACTAATTTCTAGACAAATCCGTGAAAAAATGTGGCAAAAATCATCCAACAAACTACCGAATATCGGGAGCTATCGTTATATGGGGGCTATACTAAAATACGGACCTATACATACAATGTTCCGCCGCCAGAGCTAGAACCCATTATGACCTACAAATGCCAATTTTTAGACAAATCCGTGGAAAAATGTGGCGAAAATTATCAAAACAACGAATATCGGGAGGAACCGTCATATATCAGAAATACATCGTATCAAAATATCAAGTAATTTATAAATCTTTAAACTTACTTCATGCGTCAACTAGAAAAAGGACGATCTCCGAAATCCGTTAAATAGGTAATACTATGACTTTTTTTTGTAACATTATTACAAATATTTTTTTTTTTTGATATTTAATGGAAATAGAGCTTTCTTTGGTGAGTTACAGTGCCTTTGACGTCAACCATTTGAAGTTCGCAATGGGTACTACATCCAACAATAAGATGTCTTCGTATAGCCCTTATATACCGGTTCCTCCAAATATTCACTGGTTCCATGGTTGTAGGGCGTTACGCACCGGAATTGTTTCAAATATCGTATTTGAAGTTCCAAATGTGTACTACAGCTAATGACAGAAAATTGCGAATGCAGGTCCACGTCTTCATGGAGACCCATATAACGAAACCTCCCCACATTCGATATTTTCATGATTTTAGCAATATTTTTAAACGGATTATGTTTTTTTTTAAATTTGCAAATTTCGTGGAGGATATTCAAAGCTCAAAACTGCAGAACTTACTGTTTTTTTTCACTTGCTTTTTTAACATGGAATGAAAATGTTTTCCATACCTGCTATAGCTTTCAAAATATCCACCTAAATTGTGTCAGAAGTAATAATTAAATAGATTAGAGATGCCTACCTTGAAATGCTTAATTGCGCATGATACAGACCATATATCCCAATTAATGAGCTTAGCGCCGATTTTTTGATTCGAAACTATTGAAGAAAACACAATACCCGTGCGGGGTATGACTATACAGGGTGAGATGGAAACAACTGCAACCAAATTCAGACTGCTGTCATTTCTAAGCCACTCGTTCGGAAGCTGTTAAAATTATTTAAATGACAGCTCATTTTACTGTTTACAAGCGTACAAAAGCTTTTTGGTGAGATTTTTTCCAGAAAAAGTTATTCGTGATGGAAATTCGTGATGGAATGTAATTTCTTCATATTTGGCTGGAAAACCACATGTGGCTATCATTAGCGCACTCCAGCATTTAAATGTGAATAAATTTTTGTGTCTCGAACCATCGCTCGTTACCGTGATACTGGCATCGTAGCCCGACGTCAAGAAAGTAGACGGAAGAAAGCAGCAACATCAGCAGAAATGAAAAGAAAAGTAAAGAAGCGACTTGATCGGAATCCGCGACGCAGTGGCGGAAAAATGGCTCGTGTGCTGAACATATCGCAATAATCCATTCGACAAATATTGAGAAATGAGCTCGGGGTAAATCCATTGAAATTGCAAAAAGTGCAAGAACCTACACCAAAACAGAAAGAAAATAGACCCAAAAAAGTTAAAGAGTTGCTTCGCTTGGCCGAAAGCGGTGAACTGCCGAATTTGGTTTTCTTCGAGGAGAAAACAATCGTTGTCCAGCAGTTTGTAAACAAAACAAGTAAAAAAGCTGAAAGTTCGGCCGGGCCATTTGGAACGAATATGGCAATTCTCAAAAACAATAAATGCCGTTAAAATTCTGTAAAATCTTAAAAATACCGAATGTAGCTATTATATTAGGGTCTATACGATGGCATGAACCTGCGTAGGTAACATTATTATAAGCCATTACAATATTCAAATGCGAAACTTAAAAAAAAATCGATAAAATCAAAATACCGAATATCGGAAGGTACCGTTATATGGGGGCTATACGAAGACGTGGACCTGCATAGACAATTTTCTGTCGTAGGCTATAGTATCCATCACGAACTTTAAATACCAAATTTGAAACAATTCCGGTGAATAAATTCGCTAAAATCATCAAAATACCGAATATCAGGAGGTACCTTTATATGGGACCTATGCCAAAACTTGGACCTACATGTCCCATTTTCAATACCAAAATTCCTGTAGACTAACATGCAGTTGAGCAAAATTTTATCAATCTACTTCAATTCGTTTCCACAGATGGACAGACGGATGGACGGACGGACATAGCTAAACCGATATAGAATTTTATGCTTATCAGGAATCTATGCACTTTGTGTATTTCGAGGTGTTACAAACGGAATGACAAACTAATATACCCTCCATAATATGGTGTTGGGTATAAAAATTATCGTGTTTACTTGCTAAAGAGGTCAGCTGAAAATGTGCACCTTCGATTGGCCACCAGAACAAAATTGCCGGCCATGGTTATGGTGTGGGCCGCCATAATATTCTGGAGGGTGTATTAAAGCCTTTGCCACGCAAACGTTTTGTCCGAAGACCTTGGACATTCCAACAGGACTCAGCACCATCGCACTCAGCACGCGACACCCAAGAATGGTTACAAAATGAGGTTCCTCGCTTCATTTCCAGCGCACAATGGCCACCAAAATTTCCGTATACCAATCCGTTGGACTATTGTGTCTGGAGAATTTTGGAATGGAAGGTTGGCACTAAAAAATACCAAAGTGTCGATCACCTCAAGCAAGCGCTTCGCCGGGAATGGGCTAAAATACCGAAGAGCAACATTCGGGCAGCGTGTGACGGTTTGAAGGTCATAATTCGTGCCAAAGGTGACCAATTCCAAAAAAAATTAAACTTGCAGTTTTTTATCTCACCCTGTATGTATTATATATGGGGAAAAAGAAACCAACACGAAACTATTAAAGAAAACACAATACCCTTGCGGGGTATGACTATATATATGATTCGATGAAGATCGACATAAGTAACTGCGGGTGTATCTTGTTTCCCTAAACCAATGGGTGGTGCAGGATATAAAAATGTTTTAAGTTTGGTCGGGCCAAACTCTTAATACCCTCCATAATTCGCACCATATTTCTAGTCTTATGTTTTCGAATCAGGCATAACATATCTCACACACTTTTCGATGTTATATCAAATGAAGTTCCGTTTTCATAATCTTTTTCATATTCCAAGCAAAAAATGATCTTCTCATGCCACCAAATATGTTCTCATGAAGGAATGACTCAAAATTCTAAGAAATATCTACACAATGTCATTCCGTTTGCATAAATTATGTATCAATTATGAACAAAAAAAAAATAAAAAATAAAACTTGATGTTGAATAATTACTTGATCGAGATGAAAAATGTAATCCTTAGTATTGGTTGTTGCTCCACGATCGCCTTGAAGGGCAGAGAGTAATCCAAATAGTTGATGCTTTAACTTTTTGCTCCAATGGTTTTGTTGCTATTTGTATCTACTTCTTTTATCAATTCCTATCCAAATTTCTTGTCAGATTTTTTGTTTTAATTTTTTTATATTTAAATGATAAACGAAAAAACGATAGAATTTCTGATGAGATATTTTCTGACTGCGGCTGTTTTACACATACACTGATGTTTTTTGTTTGCTACTGCTACTGCTGTTGTTTTTGTTTATTTTTATTTGCTTTTTATCTTGCTGCTTTTTTTGTTGCTGTTGTTGTGTTTATTATTTTACGCCGCCGTTCATTGAATTGTTTGTTTATTTTAGTTGGGATAAATTTAGTTTTTTTATTTAATTTATTTTTTTCGTATTTGAATTTTCAATTCAGGTTTTTGCTTTGAATTGATGATTGAATATAAAAATTATTTGATTTTTATGTATGTTGTTGCTTTGTTTTTTTTTTTCTTTCGATTTTTTTTTTTTGTTTTGGTTTACAAACAAAAACTCAACTAACAATCAATCGACGTAACCACCAACGTAACGTACCGTGCGCGTTCAATGCAAATAAGCGAATGATTTTTTAAAGATCTTTAAGACACACCAACAGCAACAGCAGCAAAACAAAAACAACAACAGTGGCCGCACACTTGTACACACATCCAGAGACCGAACAATGAGTTAACCAACAACCAATGAACCTTTTTGCTAAGTACTTGTCGTTTAGAGTTGCCATGGCCTAAACATATCAGAGTTTTTAGGGGGATAATTGACGTTGAATAACATGAAATGGGTCTTATATTCAGGACGGCATATTGATGCTGCAAAGCATTGATGGTCTCTCATAAATTCGGAAGTATATTGCATAATTTTCCCACGTATCATACATATGTCGAAAAATTCGTAAACATAGACAAAAAACAAGATCAAGTAAAAAAAGCTGTAATTTCGGCCGGTCCGAATGTACCACTATTTGGTACAAATTTGACCATTTTCAAAAAAATTAAATCCGTTAAAAATTCTGTTAAAATCTGAAAAATGCCGAATGTAGCCGTATATTAAGGTCTATACGACCTCAAACTATTAAAATATTCAAATGCGAAACTTGAAAGAAATCTGTTTATAATGTAGCTAAAATCATCAAAATACCTTATATAGTGAGGTACCATGGGGGTTATAAAACGTAGACCTGTACAGACAATTTTTTTGGCATAGGCTGTAGTATCCATTACGAACTTCAAATACTAAAATTGAAACAATTCCGGTAAATAATGTCGGCAAAATCATCAAAATACCGAATATCGGGGGGTACCGTTATATGGGGGTTATACGATATAGCCCATCTTCGAACTTGACCTGCCTGCAGACAAAATACAGATCTGTGCAAAATTTTAGCTTCCTATCTTAATTCGTTTTGACTGTAGCGTGATTACAACAGACGGACGGACAGACGGACGGCCGACTAAATCGTCTTGGAATTTAACGCTGATCAAGAACACGTATGCCATTAGCCATTACCATATTCAAATTCTGAACTTGAAATAAACGGTGAATAATGTAGCTAAAATCATCAAAATATCGTAAATAGGGAGGTACCGTTATATCGGAGCTGTGCGAAGACCTGGCACAGCATAGACAATTTTCTGTCGCAGGCTATAGCATCCATTACTAACGTCAAATACGATATCTTAAACAATTTCGGTGGGTATTGTACCTAAACTCGTCAAAATACCGAATATAGGGAGCTACTGATATATGGGGCCTTTACGAAGACCTGCACCTGCATAGGCAAATTTCTGTCACAGACTGTAGTTCCCATTACGTCATTATTCAGGTGAATAATGACGCTAAAATCATCAAAATACCGAATTTTGGGATGTACCGTTATATGGGGGCTATACGAAGACGTGGACCTGCACAGACAATTTTCTGTCATAGGCTGTAGTATCCATTACGAATCTCAAATACCAAATTTAAAACAATTCCGGTGAGTAATGTCGCAAAAATCATCACAATACCGAATATCGGGAGGCACCGTTATATGGGGGCTATACGAAGACGTGGACCTGCCCAGATAATTTTCTGTCATACGGTGTAGTATTCATTACGAAATTCAAATACCAAATTTTAGATAGTTCCGGTAAATAATATCGCTGAAATCATCAAAATACCGGGGGGTACCGTTATATGGGGGTTATACGATATAGTGGACCGATATAGCCAATCTTCGAACTTGACCTGCCTGCAGACAAAAGACAGATCTGTACAAAATTTTAGCTTCCTATCTTAATTCGTTTCGACTGTAGCGTGATTACAACAGACGGACGGCCGACTAAATCGTCTTGGAATTTTACGCTGATCAAGAACATGTATACTTTGTTGGGTCTAATATTAATATTTCGATGAGTTACTATTGGAATGACGAACTTAATATACCCTCCATGCTATGTATGGTGGAGGGTATAAAAAAGAAACCAGTAAGGAAAGGTCAAAAGTCGGGCGTGGACGACTATATGATACTCTACACCACTATACCTATTCAGTAGAGGTCTAGTACCAAAAAAGTTTATATTGGGAATTTATGTGAATTAAATAATATCACATATGAACCAAATAACTTTGCTGTGTAGTGCATAATATGACTTCGATAAGAAATATGTTACAAAATATTTATGGGAGCAATACAGATACCGAACCGAGTTTCACCAAATGGTTGAATATGGATGAAACGTATACATGGGAGTTTTTGAAAATTTTCTAATTTGTTTCAAACGGTGAGGGTATTCAAAGTTCGGCCTGGCTTAACTTACTACTATTTTACTTGTTTGATTTAAAAATTTAAACTGCAAATATATATTTTTTTATTAAACAATAGTTGCCTCGTATGAAAATGAATGATCTACACCAAATTAATAAACTCCGAATCAAAAATCGATCACAAATCGTAGTTTTTGTTTTTTTACAACTTGCAAATAAAGACTAAAATTTTTCGTCGAGGTGAAATTTTAGCACGTATTGTATGAAGTGGTGGTATTTATGGGTTATTTAAAAATATTTATATATTTTAAATTACAATAAATAAAAAAACATATTTTTTTCATTTAAACAAAACAGGTACTTTTATTCAATAAGATAGAAAAGAGAATTTGAACAAAATATTAAGAGATATTTACCACCTCGTTAGTTTAAGTTTTAAGATTTATTTCTCTGTGGATCTTACATCTGTCTTTGGTATTCTAAGTTTTAAAATGTATAATTTGATTCATTATACAGATTTACCTTTATGGTGAAGAGGCATTATTTTAAGAAATAAAAAAAACTGTGCTAACTAACTGTGGACAATATAACATCATATAAGCATTAAATTCTTAAATAAGCTGATATATAAAATAGTTTATTAAATATAATCTACTACAAATATAGTCATCTAAAAATCTCATAACTTCCCCGCATAAATCTCAGCATCGCAATACTTGGCAACTGTGTACCATAAGATACTTTTATTTATTTTTTGTGCCATAAACAAAGATATCTGCGAGAAAATAATGAAAGAGAGTAAAATTGTGTGTGCTCTCACTCACTTGCTCTATCGCTCTCCTGCTCAATACTCTCATTCACCCACCAGAGTACAAAGTGCAGAGAAAAAACAGAGATCGAATATCAAAATGCATACATAATGTGTTTTTGCCGGTATTTGTTGATGAGTTTCCGTGCTGGTGTTGCTGCTGCTGCATTAGTGGTTAGTTACCTGTTGATTATTTGTTTATACCAAAAACAAAAGAACATACGCACACACAATGTGACAACAACAATATTGCACTGCACGCGAATTAGATAACCTGATTAATTATGTTTATTAAAAAAAAATTGTTTTTCTTTTTTATTTTTTTTTTTTTATTATTTATTTATTCGTCGACTTGCGACTAAGAGGATGGAACTAAGACTAACTTTTACATTTTTAATTTACTTATTCTACAGGTATTATTTGTTAATTAATTATTGCAGTGTTAGCATAAGTTTATTTTAAATGAAATTTGATTAACACACTTTTGTAAATAATTGTATACTCAGCTCCAGACAGTTTTAACTGGAAAAATAAAATAAAGTCAAACTAAAGAATGTCAAATTCACTTATGCTTACAGTGCAATAATTGTACACGTTTTATTGGCTAATTGTTTCCAAGAACTTATCAATTTTATCAGGGGTAGTATGATTATACGTAACTACTCCCCCCTTTAGACTAGAATTCTCCTGAATTCTTTTATTTAATTTTACAGTTATATATTTATGTTTTGTTATGATTATGAAAATTAAAATAATTATTACAATTACTATAGAAATATTACATACATATGTTATTTTAGTGTGGTATTTTAATTTTCCGATATTTCTTACATTGTATTGATGTTCTTTTTCAATTTGTTCGAACGATATCTTATGTTTAAAATTTTGAGTTTTGTTTGTATTTTCAATTATTTGTCTTTCTTTTGTAATTTCTGCAATATTTGAAAAATAATAATCTTTTATCCTAACTGAACAATTATTAAAATTAATTAAATAATTTCCATTTAACAAAATTTTTTCAAAGTTACAAGTTTGATTTACAGTCGTGTTTATTGCATTTTTAATTATAATTGTGTCTATATCTAACTGTATAATTTCAAAGTCTTTATTTTTTATCAATTGACAATTATTCTTTATTAAACAATGATGACTTAACTTTAAATCTTTTAAATGTTTATTCTCTTCAAATTTATAAGTTTTATTTTGAAATTCAAAAAATCTTTCCATATTAGATTCTATTTCATTATTTTCATTATCTGGTATTGGTACAATAAATCTTAATTTTACTGTTATAAATTGTTTAGGTATTTTTATTCCAAACACAAGATAAGAGTTGTTAAGAAATGTTGTTCCAAACTGAATATATTTAAGTTTGTTATAATCTATTTCATATTTTCTTATTTCTCTACTTGTTAAAATACTTGGGTGTACAATCCCGTATTTTGCAGAAATTACGTTGTCTTGCAAATGCTCTATCTTATTCTTAATTAATTGTATATTAGTCAATTGTTCTAAGTATAAACTTTTATTATTTTCTTCCTCTAAAAATTTGTTTATAGAGTTTAATTCTTGTTCTATTTTCTTTCTATCATTCTTAATTACCATCTTTAAATGACTTAAAGTTATATTGAAATAATCATTAATTACAATCTGTTGATTATTATTTTCCTTAATTTCATTAATATTAAGAAGATGTTCTTGTATGTTCCGTCTGTCTTCATCGTCCATCGTCCCAAATAACCATTTGGTCATACTTCCTATACCGTTAATTAGTCCACGTCTTTTTCTATTTTGTTTGGGTATTAACGTCATTAATTTATTTCTGGCATCTAATAGTTCTAACTCAAGTAATTCTTTGTTTTCGATTTTCATTAGAATAATGTTATCTGTTATGTCATCTAAAATTGTTTCAATTTCGTGAAGATTGATTATATGTAAAATTATGTCCGATTCATTAACAATTTTCTGATT